AAGTTATGAAAAGCTATTTGGATCCAGCACTGTTTGAAAATTATTCACATCCATTACAGGGATATCCCTATCCGAAAAGCTTGGGACCTTAAGTGCTCTGAATTTCAGATTTCTTTGGATTTTAGAATATCTATATTGGCATATGCATTCATAATTAGATATCTTGGTACCCAAGTCTAAACACACAATGCATTTATGTTTCGTATAACTCTTATACATATAGGTTAATTATAATTTTATATAATATTTTAATAATTGTATAATTGAAGCAAAGTTTGAATGGATTGAACTACAAAGAAGCAAGGGTGACACTATCTCAGCCACCCATGTGAAGTATTTTAGAAGTAATTCAGATTTTGGATTTCCAGAAAATGGTTGCTCAACCTGTATCAATATATTTGCATAGGCTTCATCAAGGCCAAGTCCATACTGGCAGACTTTATGCTGGGATTCGTAGCTTGGAGGCTCCAGAAATACCTCGTAAAACTACAGTTCCCATTATTCCACAGTAATGAGCCATGGCAGTTAGAGTGGTGTCAAGGTGTGTTAATTCTACAGTGTAGATGCACTTCAAGTCATTTTAATGTATAGGTACCAAGTTTGGAAGAGTGTTGAACTCAAGTGCCTATAAATACGGGTGTTGCTATAGGGAGCAAAAGAAGGGCACTGGTGTGATAGCATTCCTGAGCCTTTGGGAAAACTATATTGTCTGGCTTTACTTCAAGACTATCTGTATACTTTCTATTAAGATTAAGACCCTTAGCAGACAGAGGCACTTTAGGCAAGGTGAAAAGATAATCAAAATGAGTTTACTGAAACAAGATGAATAAAGGGTTAACTCCACCCACGACGATCATAAGGTAAGTTAAAACAACACATTACAAAAGGAGATCTTGCTGGTTGCAGTCATCTTTCTGGTATCTTCTGCCTCTGATGCAAAGTGATTGATTACAAGTTGTTGCTTATAAACTGTCTTAATCTTCTCCCCTGTGAAGCTTAGGCTGACCAAAAGCTTCTGTTATCCTTTGGACTGCTGGTATAAAAATACTGCTAAATGCAGCAGGTGCCTAGAATGACTGTTTGGATTGTTGGTCAAGGGTTCCAGACAACATTCAAGCCTCTGTAGCTGTAGAAAATGAAGGAGTCCAGCAAGCGAGCTCTATACAGGGAAATGGAATAGACCAATTAAGATTGGCCTCTGGGGGGATTTTAAGCTCCACCCAAAAACTAATACAAGGGAAGGTAACTACACTGTTGGGAAAGCCTATAAACAGGGGGAACTGAAGCAGAGGAGAGGAGAAGGCAGAGCCAAGACTTCACAACTGGGTCTCCAAAATAATGTTGCCTTGTCTGAAATGTAATTTGGTCCCCAAATGACTCGTATTGTGTAGAGTGGGAAAATAGTTCACACACTGGACACACATTTGTTGTGTCTGCATTCTCTTGGTTATGTTGCCTGCCCCTTTTCTTTGGACTGTACTCCTGAAGGCTCAATTGGTTTTACCTTACTGCATTGCTAGAAATTTTGGGGAGTGAAATAAAAGTTTCATTGGAAGAGCCAGAATTCTTTGAGGGGAGCAATGCTATACTGCTGTAAATGTGATAGTAGTATTTGGTGTCCTGCAATTCAAGCCTCAAACAGTACGTGTATGGTGGGAATGGGAACTAGTTCATTTAGTTTTTCAAATGGCTTGAAAAATGCCTACCTTAAAATGAAAACAATGGTTTTCTATTCCGGTGTTATGCCTGTGTGACAAAAGTATACAAAGAAGGCTTTGTGTCAGAAACACTCAGCTGATCCAAACACTGAACCTCTAAAGGTCTGCTGGCAGAGTCTCCTGCAAGATGAATGAGGGCCTGTTACTCTAATCGGGGAGCTAACCTTGAGGAAGGCAGGTACTCTTTCTGTGTGTGGCACAGGGAAACCCAATTTATGCCCTCTGTTCCTTCGTCAGAAGAACCCAACCCTAGCTTTCATAGAATTAATGCTTGAAAATAAACACACAAACATAGCAGTGTATATCCTGGGAGAGGAAAAAAATTCTGTGTCTTGCTCCAAGAATTTTATTTTGACTCCCCAAATGATATTATTTTATATATTTCATAATATTTGCACATCTAACAGGCCTTGCCTGGTTGCCGAAGGTCTTGCCTTGTTGCATCTTTCTTCCCTTCCCCTCATGCCCATCTTTCCCTGTGACATCACAAGGGACCACTTCACCTACCAACAGCCAATCCTTAACCTAGCAACAGCCAATCCAGCGAAATCACAAAAGGCCACTGGATTTTCACCTAGCAAAAGCCTTTGTGGTACAGACAGACAAACTTTCATTGCCATAACTATAGATTATTTTAACCATAAGCTCTAGCACAGTGGTTCTCAACCTGTGGGTCCCCAGGTGTTTTGGCCTTCAACTCCCAGAAATCCTAACAGCTGGTAAACTGGCTGGGATTTCTGGGAGTTGTAGGCCAAAACACCTGGGGCCCACAGGTTGAGAATCACTTATCGTGTCAGGGGCAACTAGACAATTGTATTACATTTCTAACAGAACAAAACAAACAAACAGACAGACAAAACACAAAGTTTGCAAGCTTGGTAGTTGATTAAATGTCCTTTGACCAGTATCTGGCCACTTGGATTGCCTCTGGTGTTGCCGCAAGGAGGTCCTCCATTGTGCATGTGGCAGGGCTCAGGTTGCATTGCAGCAGGTGGTCAGTGGTTTGCTCTTCTCCACACTCGCATGTCGTGGATTCCACTTTGTAGCCCCATTTCTTAAGATTGGCTCTGCATCTCGTGGTGCCAGAACGCAGTCTGTTCAGCGCCTTCCAAGTCGCCCAGTCCTCCCTCATAGGAAACCTGCTACAAAACAGGAGTTTTTTTGTTGAGTTCCAGGGCCAGAGAAGCAGATGGCGGAAACAGAAGAACGGCCTGCCTCAGGGGAGTGTGCTTGCTCCATCCATGTTCAACATCTACACAAATGACCAGCCACTGCCAGAAGGGACAGAGAGTTTCATCTATGCTGATGATCGTGCCATTACCACTCAAGCAGGGGAGCTTTGAGATGGTTGAACAGAAGCTCTCCGAAGCTCTAGGTGCTCTTACTGCCTATTACAGGGAAAACCAACTGATCCCTAATCCATCTAAAACACAGACATGTGCCTTTCACCTTAAGAACAGACAAGCATCCCGAGCTCTGAGGATTACCTGGGAAGGAATCCCACTGGAGCATTGCAGCGCACCCAAATACCTGGGAGTCACTCTGGACCATGCTCTGACCTACAAGAAGCACTGCCTGAACATCGAGCAAAAAGTGGGTGCTAGAAACAATATCATACGAAAGCTGACTGGCACAACCTGGGGATCACAACCAGACACAGTGAAGACATCTGCCCTTGCGCTATGCTACTCAGCTGCTGAGTACGCATGCCCAGTGTGGAACACATCTCACCACACTAAAACAGTGGATGTGGCTCTTAATGAGACATGCCGCATTATCACAGGGTGTCTGTGCTCTACACCATTGGAGAAATTACACTGTTTAGCTGGTATTGCACCACCTGACATCCGCCGGAGAGTAGCAACCATTAGTGAAAGGACCAAGGCAGTGACATCTCTGGTCCACCCCCTGTTTGGGTATCAGCCAGCACGTCAACGACTTAAATCAAGACATAGTTTTCTTAGATCTACAGAGACACTCGCTGGAACACCTCAGCAAGCGAGAGTCCAAAAGTGGCAGGCCCAAACCCAGTATCTCAATCCATGGGTGATACCAGATGAGAGACTCCCCCCCTGGGCACACAGAAGACTGGACCCACAGGTTAAGAACAACTGCAGTCTAGCAGCTTTTTATTCCTTTGATCGCCATGAGTCCATCCTACAGAATCCTGGGATTTGTAGTTGCAGATGCGTTTAAGATTCCCTGCTAGAGCCCTAATAGTGCTGTACAAGCTGTCCCCAAGTTATGAGCAAGATAGCTTCTGTACGTCTGTTTGGAAGGTGAATTTGTATGTAAGTCAGAACAGGCACATTTTTAAAGTGTAACTCTAGGCATATATGTGTGTGTGTGTGTGTGTGTGTGTGTGTGTGTATGCATATATGGCTCCCGCTAAGCTGCAAAATTTGCTGACTAGAAGCTTGGCAGTTCAAATCTGCAAGATGGGGTATGCTCCCATGGTTAGCCCCAGCTTCTACCAACCTAGCAGTTCAAAAACATGAACATGTGAGTAGATAAATAGGTACCACTTATGTGGGAAGTTAACAGTGTTCCATGGCGTCATGCTGGCCACATGACCTTGGAGGTGTCTATGAACAACACCGACTCTTTGGCTTAGAAATGGAGATGAGCACCACCCCCCAGAGTCAGACACAACTAGACTTAATGTCAGGAGAAACCTTTACTTTTACTATGTGTATATATGTCTGAAGTTGCACTTTAAAAGTACCTGTTCTGACTTAGCCAGAGAGTTGTAGTTCGGGGAAGCACCGGCATTATTTCTTAGAGAAAGCTGAAGGCCCTATAAAACTCCCAACACTCAGGAGTCTGCACAGCACTGAGGGCCCTTCCAGACAGCCCTATATCTCAGAATATCAAGGCAGAAAATCCCACAATATCTGCTTTGAACGGGGTTATTTATCTGAGTCCACACGGTCATATATTCCAGTTCAAAGCAGACAATGTGGGATGTTATTCACCTGTGTGGAAGAGGCCTGGACAGCACTGAGCCATGGCGGTTCCATTGGTGCCAGGCTGCATTCCCTGCCCAGTGGAGCCGGAGAGGGGCCTTCCTGCCAGCGAGCAAAGAGGAGAGCCCTGCAAGGCTCGTCCCTGGCACATCCACTCCGCCGGCGCCCCTTTGCCACCTTTGCTGGGCAGACAGCAGCGCAGAGCCAGAGCATGACTCCCTGCGAGCGTCAGTCGGGGCGGGATCTTTGCAAGGAGAGGAGGAGGGAAAGGGGGTGGGAGGAGGATTCAGTCCTTTCCAGCCGGCCCCCAAGACCTTGCTAGATATATAAATCCTCTCCCGGACGGCAGGAGCCTCCCGAGAGCGCAATTGCGGTGAGTTTGGAGAGGTCTCCCTGCTGCGACTTGGTGCGCAAAGCCAGGTAAGACCGCCTCCTCCTCCTCTCCCTCGTTTCTTGCTTTTCCTCTTCTGAATTTGTCCTAACTTTGCAGCCTTTGTAGGGAAAGTTTAGGACCATTTCTTGGACTCTTCCATACAGCCCTATATCCCAGAATCTCAAGGCAGGAATTCCCACAACGTCTGCCTTGAATGGGGTTATCTGAGTCCACACTCAGATAATGTGGGATTTTCTTCCTTGATATTCTGGGATATAGGGCTGTGTGGAGGGGGCCCCAGTGGAGTTCTTTCTCACCGCTTTGGGACTTTGSCACAAGATTTCCTGCAGACCTCASGGTCGCGTTTTGGAGGCATTCTGTACAGAACCCCTCCCTGCACATGCTCAGAGGCAAGCTGTAGTTCAGTCTTTCTATGGCTGGGCTCTAATGCAAAGGGCCCTTCCACACAGAATGGGATTTAGGGCTGTGTGGGAGGGCCTGACAAAATCAACTTCCTCTCCAACCCCACCAGTATTCAAATTTMGGCATATTGAGTATTTGTGTCTCACCTGCAGGCACTGAAGTTCAACCAAAACTGACCAAGAGAGAGAAGAGAGAGAGAGAGAGACCATGCCTCTCCCAGAATATCAAGGCAGGGCATCCCCACATTATCAGAGTGTGGACTCGGATAACCCAGTTCAAAGCACATAATGTGGAATTTCTTGCCTTGATATTGTGGGATATAGGGCTGTGTGGAAGGGCCCAAAGGGAGAGGCATGGTCTCTCTCTCTATTCTCCTGGCCAGTTTTGATTGAACTTCGGTGCCTGCAGGTGAGACACAAATTGACAAGTCTCAGCCATTTGAACCCAAGTTTCTGTGGCAGGAGGTCCAACAAGGCTTCAGTAGCTTGGACTGTTGTAAGAAGTCAAAGTTTTTCTTTCATCTAGCCTAGGCATGAGCAAACTTGGACACTCCCTCCAGGTGTTTTGGTGTCAACTCCCACCATTCCTAATAGCCTCAGGCCCATTTCTTCCCCCCTCCCCCCAGCTGCTAGGAATGGTGGGAGTTGAAGTCCAAAACACCTGGAAGAAGCACCCAAATTTGCCTATGCCTGATCTAGCCATATTTTTAAATCACTGCTCTTCATTCAAAAAGTGATTTTTAAATCACTGGTCCATTTTCAGAAACATAGAATACCATTTCTAAAAACAATGCTTAGGTAGAACGTCTTCCCCGAACAGTCTTTTTTAGGTTGTGTTCCAGCAATGATGTTTTCTACTGGGATCCTGGTGGCAGTTACAGCAAAATTTCCTCCTTTCACTTTTTTTTAGCTTTTTTAGTCTTTTTTAGCTTTCCCAGGCTTCAGCACACTGACTTGTGGGTTATGTTGCACTCCCTGCACCAGTGCTGCAGTGGCCAAGTCAATTAAGTAAGTACCATATGCAAGTCGACCTCAAGTTGAGGTCGGATTTGGACCAAATTTGAATACTGGTGGGGTTGGAGAGGAGGCTGATTTTGTCATTTAGGAGTTGTAGTTGTTATTTGAGAGTTGTAGTTATAGTTCATCTGCAATCAAAGAGCATTCTGAACTCCACCAAACAATGGAATTGAACCAAACTTGGCACACAGAACGCCCATGAGCAACAGAAAATACTGGAAAGGTTTGGTGAGCATTGACCTTGAGTTTTTGTGTTAGCTCACTTACATCCAGAGAGCAGGAGGAGGGCTTTTGGTGGGAGGATTTGCCATCTGTTTCCAAAAAGGATGAACAGGCGGAGAGATCTTCAGCCTTCTTTGCTAAAGGGGTTCCTAAGACCATCAGAAATATGCATTTTCTGATGGTTGGTGACCCCTTTGAAACCATCCTTGCGATCCCCAGGTTGAGACACACTTAAGCTCTCACATTCTGAGAAAGTGATCAGTCCTTTTTTTATATACGAGTTCACATCCAGTACTCAACTGACCTGTGGATACATGCATTTTTGGGTTGTTGTTTTTTTAACTAAAGTTTCCTGACATATACTTGGGTATATAGACTTCTGAAGAAAGTGCACAGGCAAGATATGAGAATAAAGGGGTCCTCCCACTTTTTTTCCAAGCAAGGGTTGGGTGTTGAGGACAACACTTCTCCTGCATCCTTGGGATCGTAGCACTTCCACCAGGCCTGGCAGTGGCAATCAGTAACAGCATGAAAGCTTGGCTATCTTCTCTCATATTGAGGAGGAGATCTCTAGTAGAAGTTGGAAGATTTCCTTTTTTAGTCCACAGCTCCCAGAATCTTCCAGACAGCACAGGTTTGGGGGTAAATCCCCACTGTCCCTGGATATTACTACTACTTCATCATCTTGGCTCCATCCTGTGGAATCTTAGGATTTCAATGTGGTCCTTTGAACTCTGCAAGAGAGTTCTGATGCTGTCGTGCAATGGTTCTCAACCTGTGGGTCCCCAGGTTTTTGGGCCTACAAATCCCAGAAATCCCAGCCAGTTTATCAGCTTTACTTTACCTACAGTAGGTACGATTTCTCCCCAGGAGATTTCCATTGCATTCCTTTTAGGCTGAAGAGTGTGAGTGGAACCCTTTTCCCCCAGTGCCTTAGTCCAAAACCTGAACCACTACACCACTTTGGCTCCTGGGTACCCTGTGTGTGTCTTCAAGCTGACTCACAATTTATGGCAGCTCCATGAAGTTCATAGTTTTCTTAAGGAATGCTCGGAGGTGGTTTTGTAAATTCCTTCCTTTGAAATACAGCCTACCATGCTTGGTAGTCCTTGTACCTGCCAAGCTGTAAATCGCAGGATTTCTTAGGATGCAGTCATGGTATTTAAATTGGTATCAGGCTGCTAAAATTGCATTGTGCTGATGCTCCGGTTCAGCTATATGATAGTAATTACACACTACAGCCACATGATGGGGCTGCAGTGGCACAGCGGGTTAAACCACTGAGCTGCAGAACTTTCTGACCAAAAGGTCAGTGGTTTGAATCTGCAGAGCAGGGTGACCTCCTGTTGTTAGCCTCAGCTTCAGCCAATCTAGCAGTTCAAAAACATGCAAATGTGAGTAGATCAATAGCTACTGCTCCAGCGAAGAGGTAACAGCTCTTCATGCAGTCATGCCGGCCACATGACCTAGGAGGCGTCCATCCCCCAGAGTCAGACTCAACTGGACTTAATGTCAAGGGGAAACCTTTACCTTTACTACAGACACCTGCTTGGTGTAGATACAGAGTTGCTCTATTGCTAAGAGTAAGAAAGTCCTTGTACTCAATTGTATGAAGCATTGGGTCTTGAGTACTAATTCCTATAGAAGATATTACTGCAGGATTGTATATGGAGCTCCGAGTACTCTGTATTGTTTCTATATAGCTGCTCACTGATACTTGGAACCTTTCCATCCCCCTGTACTGTAAAATGCCTCTCTAAATAGACATGGATTAATTAGGAAAAGTACATCTACCTGGTATAAACCCTTTAACAGCAAAGCCAAATGATGTAGGTAATGGGGCTTAGTCACATGCCTTAACTGCAAGTCCCAATCACCTGCTTGTTAAGTGCTTAACTATCTTACACTCAGTTTCTTCCAGGTATAAGGTGTAATAATGACAACTTTGTTTCCCAAATAGGAGTTGGCATCTAATGAGAGAGCAAATAGAATGGAATTGCTGCAAAATGAGTTTAAATAGTGTCCCTGTAAGTTTTTAATCCTTGTAGATCTGAAGTCAGAAATATGCCTTGGCCAGATAGTAGTATATCCTAGCTGATGCATTCATTGTATATGTTTGAGCCGGTCCTTTTGTGAGAAAGTGTCTGAGTTCCCCTGGTTTTCAAGGCTTTGCAAATATCATAGGTTTTTTCCCTTCCATACTTTTTACATTTATTTTGTTTAGATTTCTAAATTTTTGTAAAATGTTCTTCACTAAAGGACATAGAGTATGAGATCTTGTAACAGTCAAGGATAGAAACAATGTAGGGATTCCTTCCATTGCTCCTACCAAAAATCCCCTCCCTGTTTTTCGAATGAGTTCTCACTCTATGCCTAGTGCAGGTTCTGTCATGAAGAATTGCCAAAGACAGATGGGAAATGGAAAGCTGTTGCTTCTCAAAGGTGGAGCCAAAGAATTATACAACTATGCTTTCTGATTCACTGAGCTTGTTCTACAGCTTGGTTACTACAGAATATTACCTTTTCTGGATGAGATCTTCTGTGGCAGCCAATGAGTTAGTATTCATGTTTTTCTGGAGTGTTTATTTTTTATTTATTGTGCCAGAGGTGAATGGATGGTTATATATCTGCAGAATGTCCAGGGTGGGAGAAAGAACTTTTGCCTGCTTGAGGCAAATGTGAATGTTGCAATTGGTCACCTTGATTAGCATTAGTTTTGAAGCTTCAAGGGCATTAAATGCTAATCAAGGTGGCCAATTGCAACATTCACACTTGCCTCAAGCAGACAAAAGTTCTTTCTCCCATCCTGGACATTCCACGGATATATAAACTTCACTTGCCTAGTTTCCAACAGACCTCACAACCTGTGAGGATATCTGCCAAAGAAATGGGTGAAAGGTCAGGAGAGAATGCTTCTGGAACATGGCCATACAGCCCGGAAAACTCACAGCAACCCAGTGATTCCGGCCATGAAAGCCTTCGGCAACACATCTAATGGAGAACTTGGTCCAAAACAGGACTGCAAAATGGGCTTTTAAAATAATTTCCCCTCCTTTCCCCAAGTTACCAGTGAAAGCTCTTTTTCTGGGCTTAGAAGGAAGGGTTTCTATTGGGACCATAGCATTGTGGGGTGGGGGTTATGAGAAGGAAACTATCTCATCCATACTTCAGATGGCATCTGACTTCTTCAGTAATCAATTAGATTACACTTGGTAATTACATTTGCATATAATTTACATAAATGTGGAGGAAAGTTTTGCTCATCAGCTGAATCACCAGCTAATTTTGATTACTGTACCAAGTTTACTGTTACACTGGAACAGGTTTTGCTGGAATTATGTCTCTTGGTAGGATGAGCTTATTGTAAAGGAAAAATTAGACTCGGT